AAAGTATATGCTGAACTTTTGTTTGAGATACATGAAAACATTTCTAATCTTGTATAACCTGTCACTTCTGTCAGGCTGGTTTTGTCAGAGAAGTGCAACATACGTAAGAGTAAGATAAACCTGTTCACTGGTATGATTTCACTGAAGACCGGGGTAGAAATTAGCCGATCTGTGGACCAGTATGCTTTTATATTATGCTTATAGACATGAGGCATAAGCATTATTGTTGCAAAAAGCAAATTACATTTCTGCAACAGTCGTCTCTTTCCACCTGTGTAGTCTTGACTGTGGTGATATGATCGTATTTGCCATGGTGTACTCAAAATACTTATTACTTTCCCTGACAATAGTTTCCATCAATGGCTGGTCAAAGAATAATTAAAAGAATTCCAGTTCATTGGCCGTGGTTCCAAGGGGACAAGTAGGTAGAATTCCACTTTGAGAGTCATCAAAGTGGTGAGGCTTGGGAACAAAATTGGGATTTTGCTGCCAATCCCACATACGGTTTGCTGGTGGATACTGGACATCATAGGCTGGTTGTGCAGGTGGTTGTGGTTGTGGTGGGCTGGTGGCTGATGCTCCACTTTGTCCTTGAACTGACGAGTCAGCAGCGTGGGTCCCACCCTGGGCTGGTGAGTCACGCATGGCGGTGCCACTACCATCATCACTAACACCATCCACTGATGCCTGTGGTCTATCCATGCCAAGTGTAGCCACATCATCCTCACTATCACTACCGAAAACTGGTGTAAGGCCACGGGATGTACTCCGGGATGTACTCCGTCCCCTGGGCACAGCATAGGGTACGCTACCCGAGCGCATGCGGCGGCGAACATACCAAAGCTTCACTGGTGAATATGATTCCTCACTATCACTACTCGAATGATCGTCGAGCGCAATAAAATCACAATCCACGTCACTATCATCATCATTACTGAAGTCAGAGGCCTGGCCACGCGAAAATATTAGTTTTCTCTTGCGTTGAGGAACAACCGACCGTGAGTCATGAGTGCCCACACCAGAGGTAGAAGGTTGAGGATCGTCAGGGTTTTCTGCACTATTATCGATATCCTGGTCATTCTTTTCGGTCACTAACTTATCAAAGCCGTAGAATTCGTCTTCATTTCCACTTCCATCAGTGTCAGAACTATCAGATAGGAAGAGGAGAGTCCCAATTTTCCGGGGAGTGAGAGCTGACTTGCGACGAGGCATGGTGAACAAGGGTAACTGAGCCGGCGTTCCCACAATGCTATGCGGGCGCCTAGATTTTTTGTTTATGGCGCACACCCACCATGCAGACCCGTTCTCTCACATGTAGGCCTATGAGCGCTTTCGTGCTAAATTTGATGGCGCTAGAATTTTGGCATAGATCTACGGTTTGGACACTCAACGTGAAGCCGTAGATCTACGGGACGGACCCTGAAAGGGTTAATATTGTCCATCATCAAGGATTGCATCTGTGACTTGGTACCTTAATCTAGTCTCTAGTTGTAAACCTAAGTTGAGAACCTAATGTTTCTTCATTGCAAAACCGTCAAGATCCTTATTGTATATGTTGTTTGGTTCTTTTTCATGGTCTTTGCTTATTTACGACCTCTAGAATAATCACAGACTTTAGCAAGCTGACATTTTTAATGTCCTTCTTTATTATGGCCTTTAAATCTTTGCCTGCATCCCATCCTTTTCTGTTCATCCTGTTCATTTTTTTCTACTCCATTTTAAGAGGTACCAATACAGTGGACCCTTGCCTATCGAACGCATCGCATAACGTTAAATCCGCCTAGCGATACATTTTAACGCAAAAATTTTGCCTCGGCTAGTGCTAAAAAACTCGTCCAACGCGATTCGTTCCACTCGATACGTGTCCACGTGTTGCCTGAGCGCGCCTCACTTGTCCCGTGGGTGCCAGTGTTTACAAGCCAGCCACCGCGGTTGCATCCAAACATACAGTCGGAACATTTCATATTATCACAGAGTTTTTTGGTGATTGCACCTGAAAAATAAGTCACCATGGGCCCCAAGAAAGCTTCTAGTGCCAACCCTACAGCAAAAAGGGTGAGAATTACTATGGATATGAAGAAAGAGATCATTGCTAAGTATGAATGTGGAGTGCATGTCACCGAGCTGGCCAGGCTGTACACAAAACCCCAATCAACCATCGCTATTATTGTGGCCAAGAAAACAGCAATCAAGGAAGCTGTTCTTGCCAAAGGTGCAACTTTGTTTTCGAAACAGAGATCGCAAGTGATAGAAGATGTTGAGAGACTGTTATTGGTGTGGATAAATTAAAAACAGATAGCAGGAGATAGCATTTCTCAAGCGATCATATGTGAAAAGGTTAGGAAGGTGCATGACGATTTAATTAGAAAAATGCCTGCAACTAGTGGTGATGTGAGTGAATTTAAGGCCAGCAAAGGCTGGTTTGAGAGATTTAAGAATCGCAGTGGCATACATAGTGTGATAAGGCATGGTGAGGCTGCCAGTTCAGACCAAAAAGCAGCTGAAAAATATGTGAAGGAATTCAAGGAGTACATAGACAGTGAAGAATTGAAACCTGAACAAGTGTTTAATTGTGACGAAACAGGCCTGTTTTGGAAGAAAATGCCAAGCAGGACCTACATTACTCAGGAGGAAAAGGCACTCCCAGGACATAAGCCTATGAAAGACAGGCTTACTCTGTTGATGTGTGCTAATGCTAGTGGTGATTGCAAAGTGAAGCCTTTATTGGTGTATCACTGAAACTCCCAGAGTGTTCAGGAAAAACAATGTCCTCAAGGCTAATTTGTGTGTGATGTGGAGGGCAAACAGTAAGGCATGGGTCACTAGAGACCTTTTCTATGACTGGTTACACCATGCATTTGCCCCCACTGTGAAAAATTACCTCCTGGAAAATAAATTGGACCTTAACCCGTAAACGGTCCAAACGTATATATACGTTTTTTCAACATTTGAAAGTATGTAAAAAAAGTAGATCTTTTTGTTTTTTACATTTGAAAGTGTGTAAAAAAAACTTGTTATATTTGAAAATATGTAAAAAAACGTAGATCTACTTTTGTAGCACTACACATGTGAACGTAGATCTGCTTGGACCGTTTACGGGTTAAGTGCCTCCTGGTGTTAGACAATGCTCCTGGTCATCCTTCAGACGTGGCAGAGCGACTTTCTGGGGACATGAGCTTCATTAAGTCAAGTTTTTGCCTCCTAATACCACTCCTCTCCTGCAGCCCATGGACCAGCAGGTCATTGCAAACTTCAAAAAAATTTACACAAAAGCTATGCTTGAAAGGTGCTTTGTAGTGACCACAGAAACTCAATTGACTCTAAGAGAGTTTTGGAGAGATCACTTTAGCATCCTCAATTGTGTAAACATTATAGGTAAGGCTTGGGAGGAAGTGACTAAGAGGACCTTGAACTCTGCTTGGAAGAAGCTGTAGCCAGAATGTGTAGACAAAAGGGATTTTGAAGGATTTGAGGCTAACCCTGAGAAGCCTATGCCAGTTTTGGAATCACTTGTGGCATTGGGAAGTCCTTGGGGTTGGAGGTTAGTGGGGAGGATGTGGAAGAGTTGGTGGAGGAGGACAATGAAGAACTAACCACTGATGAGCTGCAAGATCATCTTCAACAGCAAGAGGCCAGACCTGAGGAAACTGCTCCGGAGGAGGGGATAGAGAAATTGAGGAAGTTGCCTACTTCAGAGATTAAGGAAATGTGTGCAATGTGGCTTAAAGTGCAAACCCTTTTTGATGAAAATCACCCTCACACAGCTATTGCAAGGCGTGCTGGTGACTATTACACTGACAATGTTGTGAAACACTTTAGGAATGTCATAAAGGAACGGGAGGTACAGGCCTCTATGGACAGATATGCTGTGTGACAGAGGTCCAGTGACTCTCAAGCTGGTCCTAGTGGCATTAAAAGAAGAAGGGAAGTAACCCCGGAAAAGGACTTGACACCTCAAGTCCTAATGGAAGGGGATTCCCCTTCTAAACATTAATACCATCCACACTCTCCCCTCCTCCCATCCCATCAATCATCACCAGATCTTCAATAAAGGTAAGTGTCATGTAATTGTACATGTCTTCTTCAGTTTGTGTGTATTAAAATTAATATTTCATGTGGTAAAATTTTTTTTTTTTTCATATTTTGGGGTGTCAGGAACGGATTAATTTGATTTCCATTATTTCTTATGGGGAAAATTAATTCGGCTAACGATAATTTTGCCTAACGTTGAGCTCTCAGGAACGGATTAATATCGTTTAAGTGAGGGTCCACTGTAGTTTGAGTACATCCCTCCTTCCTTTCCTTTTCAAAGTCTCATATGTCATTTATGGGCATGCATTCCTTCACTCGTTTGCTCTTGCTTTGTACACTGATAGTTCTACATCTTTTGATGGTGTAGGATATGCAATTGTTTTTCCAGATTGTGAGATACAGGAATGCATTCCAGATTTTGGCGAGTTAAACAGATTCCTTTCAGTTATCATCCACACTGCTTCTCTTCCTCCTTTATCTTTTGTTGTAGTCTTTGACTTTCAGAGTGCATTGCAAGCTTTTTTGAGCTTTGATGCCATGCATCCTATTGTTTGTACATGTATTAATTAACTGCTTCTTGAGTCAACTCTTCAGCAATCATAAAAACAATATCGTCTGCTGGGTCTCTGGTCATTCTGCTGTCCTTTACACATTCTGCAGTTCAGGACCTGTCTAGGGATGTACCATATTCAGATTTTTTTTTCAGTTATCTAAGAACATTCATAATCAATAGCAGTAACTAAGGTGTGGGATATTATCATTTCAGTAAATATCTTGTGGGCTTCCATGAGAAAATGCAATTTGCTCAATGTATTTTTTGTTTATGAACCTTTTGTCCAATTCCCATTGGTGTCAGTAAGCAGTGGTCGACCACATCTGTAGGTACTGTCTTACTTTATTTTCTTCTTATTTTTACTGTTATTTCTACTCTTTAAAATAAGATTGAAAATTTTATGTATTTTTTTCAGATGTTGCTTTGTTTCTCCGTTGGACACAGTTCTGTTTGCTTATTGCTCCAGAGGTTGCAACATTCTGGAATGTACGGAAGATGTTTCTCCGCCAGGGTCATCTTGGGGTGGATGCTGATCTGCATCTTACAAAACTCATACTGTCTAGAAAACCAAAGTGCATGCAGGTGTTTCAGCATCGAAAATGGATGTTTAGCAATATTTTAATGAAAGATTTGCCTCGACAAGCAAATGGAACCCATGATTTCAATGAGGACAACCGTAATGGTAATGTTGATCTTGGGAACTCAGTGTATGTTAAACAGTTTCTTTTTTCTGAACTAAATATCTGTGCATGGACAGCTGATAAACATCAAAACAACTATCACTCATGGAATCACAGATTATGGGTACTACAGCAATTTGGCAGCCTTGTTGGATTTGCAGATGTCTGCAGATCAGAATATGAAACAAGCCATAGCTGGATTAGTATTCATGTAAGTGAGCACAGTGGCCTCCACTACCTCCAGTATCTACTTGACTCAATTGTCTCTTTTGTGACTGAAGCAAAGGTTGAGATTATGGAAATCGTTCCATGTGTAGATAGTTTGGAAAGGCTGTATGAAAAGGAGTTGGAGTTTAACCGTGACCTGATTGAAGAATACAGAGATCACGAGGCACTCTTCTGTCATCGGAGATTCTTGTTGACTCGTCTGAGAGATCTTTGTTCTTCACCCCAACGAACCTGTTCCCCTCCCTCTCCTGCCATGAAAAGATCGTGTGTTGAAACAGTCAACAGTGCATGGAGTGCTGTTCTCCTTGGTGAGAGAGACCTTATAAACAGATGTCTGCAGACCAGTTCATACCAAAAAACTCTTGGTGAAAAACATGCTCAATGGCTTAATAATGTAGTTGGTATTTAAAAGCTTTTATTCTAATCTCTTCACTAAATGCATAAAATTATCAATTACGAGTTTATAATTTAAAAAACAATGTGATCATATTGTAACTTAATGAAAGAGATCTTTTCTTCATTCCTTTAAAATTTTTAAACAGTTTCAATTTGATTTTTACTAACTGTGATAAGAGTGAGATAGCCTGTCCTTATTTCTGTATATAGGTAATATTTGTACAGTACTTCATGTGAAGTTGTTTTACTGTTGACAAGTAGTGATAAAAATGACTCAAGAAATCATATTCTTTATTTATATAGGTACATGACATTTCATTCACATGTAGTGAACTGTCTCAAGTGAATTTAGGAAACAAAAGACACGCTTGTACATATAGCAGGGAGAAGGTTAGTGTGTTAGGTGGAGGTCAAGAAGTGGCCACTGCATTCAATATTATATACTAGAATAGGGCACGTGGGTCATTATTATGTGGAGATAACTTTATTGCCTCTCACATGTCTGCCAGTAATAAGATATTTTAGGGAACAGATGGTCTATTATTTGTATTATCTTAAGTAATATGAGGAACTTATTTATTGCTACAAATTTTGGTGAGAACTTTACATGCACACATTTACAATTTTTAGATTTATTAATATTGTAATTACATCTTTAAATATATATATTATAAACAGATGGTCAAATTCATTCCCAGATGCCCAAATAATACAATGTGTTTAGAGAATTAAAAATGCTCAGCGCAAAATTTAAGGAAAAAGTATATGAAAATTTATGCTGTCTTATAATTCACTGCCCATTGCTCGCCCTTGCAGGTGGAATAGTTGTATATGAGATGGATCTGTTTATTATGGGCTGCAAGGGCTATTGTAAAGTAATCCTTTTAAGGATGGTGTCTGGATCTTGGTGAAGGGCTCTTGATCCAAGGAATGACCAGTAGCCTCCCATTCCTTGGAAGAAATCTGATTGCTTTCCATTCTCCGGGTTCTTTAGGACTATAATGGCTTTAACAAATTTTCATAACTATTTTTTTTTTTTTTAACAAGTCGGCCGTCTCCCACCGAGGCAGGGTGACCCAAAAAGAAAGAAAATCCCCAAAAAAGAAAATACTTTCATCATCATTCAACTCTTTCACCACACTCACACATAATGTTTTTGCAGAGGTGCTCAGAACACAACAGTTAAGAAGCATATACGTATCAAGATACACAACATATCCCTCTAAAATGCCAATATCCTGAACCCCTCCTTTAGAGTGCAGGCATTGTACTTCACATTTCCAGGACTCAAGTCCGGCTATATAAAAATAACCGGTTTCCCTTAATCCCTTCACTAAATATTACCCTGCTCACACTGCAACAGATCGTCAGGTCCCAAATACCATTCGTCTCCATTCACTCCTATCGAACATGCTCACGCATGCCTGCTGTAAGTCCAAGCCCCTCGCCCACAAAACCTCCCTTACCCCTTCCTTCCAACCTTTTCAAGGATAACTCCTACCCCGCCTTCCATAACTATAATAATAATAAATGTATGGAAGAGGGGAAGGTACCTAGACATTGGCAGAGAGCATGCATAATCCATTTGTATAAAGGCAAACTGGACAAAAGAGAGTGTAAAAATTATAGGGGAATAAGCCTGTTGAGTATACCTGGTAAAGTGTATAGTAGAATTATTAAAAGAATTAAGAGTAAGATGGAGAGCAGGATTGCAGATGAACAAGGAAGCTTAAGGAAAGGTAACAAGGGGAGGGGGGGTTACAGTGAAGCATATAGGTGAACGGTATTTAGATAAGGGTATAGAGATTTTCGTTGCATTTATGGATTTGGAAAAGGCATATGATAGGATGGATAGACAAGCAATGTTGCAGATGTTGCACATATATGGAATAGGTGGTAAGATACTGAAAACAGTTTAGTTTTTACAAGGATAGTGAGGCTCAGGTTGAAATACAGCAGACCCTCCTATTACACAGATTTATTTGGCATGTTTTAGTTATTACACTATTGAAAAAAATTGCTGTATAATTTTGTACAACACTTCGTAAAATTAAGTTTGCACAGTTCGGTTTGTGAGAAGGGGAAAAAATTTGGATCATCGCTTGTGGGATATTTCCCTAGCTTAGGCCGCCGCCTGGCTGTGGGTGAGACCACTGTCTCTGCAGGGCTGCACTGGGCTTTGCAGTAATGTGTCAGGTGATTTCATATGTAAGCCCATGGTTATTTACCACTCTAAGAATCCTCGCACTCTGAAAGGTGTAGATAAAGACTCCTTACCAGTAATTTGGAGGTCAAACCAGTCAGCATGGATGACAGAGTAAATACTTATTGACTGGTTTAAGCATCACTTTATTCCTGAAGTCAAGTTTTACCTGCACAGCAAGAACTTTGCATTCAAGGCTCTCTTCATCCTTGATAGTTCTCGTATTCATCCAGAGGCTTCACTGGATGTGACCCCACATGTAAAAGTTGTATTTTTACCTCCAAATACATCTTTAATACAACCACTGGATTGGGGAGTTATTAAGTCATTCTAGTGTAACTACACAAGAAAAGTGATGAAAGAACTAGTTGCATCAATGGACTCTGACTCCAACCAGTCAGCACCAAGCTTCTGGAATAATGTACAATGTTCTGCAGGATAAAAGAAGCCAGAGATCCATTACAGAATTTATGCACATCATTGACTTTAGTACTAGAATGTCAACCATCCACTTCTGCTGACAACCAATAACCATCCACCTCAGCCCAGTTGGGTCACACCATGCATCTCTGCTCTCTTCACAATCACTGACATACATCAGCAACCACAATTTAAGGTAAATAATTTTATTTGTGTTGCATTTATAATCTTAACAAAAACAGCATCATCATTTTTAGTTTTGTAAGATATGGATGTCTAAAAAAAGTTGTTTACCTTTTTTTTTTCAGGAACATAACCTTATTTTTCCTGTAAGTTCTTCAGTTTATATAACACGGATTTATCTAACATGGCATTTTCAGGAACGTAACTACCGTGTAATATGAGGATCTACTCTGTGTAAGAGAGAGGGAGATTATTTCCTAGTAAAAGTAGGCCTTGGACAGGGATGTGTGATGTCACCATGGTGGGTCAGTATATTCATAGATGGGGTTGTAACAGAAATGAAAATGCTTGGGTGTTGGCAAGAGGTGTGGGATTGAGGGATTGAAAGATAAAGAATCTGACAAAGTGGGAGTTGTCACAGTTGCTTTTTTGCTGATGACACTATGCTTTTGGAAGATTCTGAAGAGAAGTTGCAGAGGTTGGTGAAAGAGTTTGGAAGGGTATATAAAAGATGGAAATAAAACATGAACATAGGAAAGAGCAAGGTGATGAGGATAACAAAAAATTTAGGTTATGAAAGACTGGATATCAGATTGGAAGTTGGGAGTATGGAGGAAGTGAATGTATTCAAATATTTGGGAGTGGACTTGTCAGCAGCTGGGTCTTGGAAAGACAAGGTGAATCACCACTCACTTCATAACTGTTTTGCTAGAGACATACTGATACTACAGTTCAAAACTGAAAATATTCCCACCCCTTCTTCAGAGTGCAGGCACTGCACTTCTCACCTCCAGGATTCAAGTCCGGCTAACCAGTTTCCTTGAATCCCTTCATAAATATTACCTTGCTCACACTCCAACAGCATGTCAAGCCATAAAAACCACATGCCTCCACTCTCTCTCCTATCTAACACACTCAGGCATGCTTGCTGGATGTTTAAGCCCCTCACACACAAAATCTCAATTACCCTCTCTCCTCAACCTTTTCTAAGACAGTCTCTTCCCCACCTTCTCTCCACAGTAGATTTATACACCTTCCAGGTCATCCTATTCTGTTTCATTCTTTCTAAATGTCTGAACCACCTCAGCAACCCTTCTTCAGCCACCTGGATAATACTTATAATATCCCTGCACTTCCTAATCTCCAAGCTATGTTTTTATTATTTTCATTTATTTATTTATTTAGTTCCTCATAATACAGTGTTTCTACAGAGGTGGGTGACATTTAGGTGTGCATGCAGAAAGACCTTCGTATGTAGAGCAATTCTGGCAAACTTAAGCTTGTCTTAAGACTAATAGACAATACCTTATTGATTTCTTATATAAATGGTCTCTTAAATGGATATAACAATAATTTAAGAATTACAAGTGTAGACAGCTACACCATTCCGTGGATTCTTGGATGCTTGTTCAGGCGGTCCGCCTGAACAAGCATCGAAGTGCCTGTAACAGAGACAATTTAAGGCACGTCTGTATCCTCCACAGAGACTCCAAGGGGCATTTGATGAACTGGAACGAGGCACAACTCATTCTCACCAAACCAGACCTCAGACGCCGACAGTGCCTAGAAGCTTCACTAATCGCCGTCACCACCAGAATAGAACGTAACACTGGAAACCACAAAATTTCAAAAACATTAGCATTACACGATACTTAGGCAGGCTAAGCACCACCAACCCAACAACACAGGAGTCACATGATCTCATCGTTTACCCGTCCTCATCCCAACATGGCATTCTTCAGGTCGCCATGCGTCACTCACACCTCACTCTCTACCTATATATAATGTCTTTCTACCTCTGTATGTTAGAAGTGATCAAGGTCCCAGGACCAAAACGTTTTCTAATAAATATGTCATAGTGTTTCCTTAGGTGTCTTTCTAAACCAACTTGTTGGTATTTATTACCAAGGTTTATACCATCTTTAATGAGAAATCGTTTCGCCACACAGTGGCTTCTTCAGTTCATACAAAGGAGAATGGTGAAGAACAGGAGTAGTTTGAGGTAATCAGTCCCTCAGCCTTGAGTCGATGTGGTCGGTCCACCAATCTTGAAAAGAATACAGCATATGTGTGAAGAAGTAGCTTATATACTGTAGGCAGGAGAGGTGCAGCAGTCATAGGTGGTATCACATTTGTCCAGTGTGGAAGTAGGTTATGCCCAAGGGTTAGGCAAGTGAAGAATTCCCTGTATTAAGATCTCAAGATGTTGCTGTGTCAGACAGGAATATAGATGAATGGTTCAGAGAACCGACAAATTGATAAATTAGACACATGTGCAACACTTGGGTATCTTTAATGAGAAAACTTGTCGGTTCTCTGAACCATTCACCCACGTAAGTAGTGCTATTTGTGGTACATAATAACATTTGAAAGTTAAGACACTTGTGCAACATCTGGTTATCTTTATTGTAGACATTTCACCATCCAGTGGCTTTATCAATATAGATTTTAGGACATAATTAGAAAACAGAAGAACTATATAAAAATGATGAAGTAATCAGTCCCTCAGCCTTGGAGTGTTGAGAGCACCGTGGTTGTAGAAACTCTGAAGCACTGGCAAGGAGACTGGCGCTTATATAGGTGTCAGTGAATAGGGACGTGTAGCAGACGAGGGCATAGTCACTGGTAGGCAGGATTCCCCAGTGGAAGTAGGTCCTACCCAAATTGATGGGTTAGTAGTAGTAGCCATGAAGAAGGTCTTGTAGATGTCCTCTGAACCAAGATTGAGGGACTGATTACCTCATCTTCTGTATATAGTTCTTCTGTTTTCTAATTATGTCCAAGAATCTGTATTGATAAAGCCACTGGAAGGCGAAACGTCTACAATAAAGATAACCAGATGTTGCACAAGTGTCTTAAC